AGGGAAAACGCGAAAATCTAAAGGAAACGTTGTTTGTATTTGAAGTGGAGATATTTTTATCGATTGGAAGATGATTAAATATATATAAAGAATATATGGTGTGGAAAATGACGATGAAGTAAGAATGGGAAAAAAATGAAATGAAATGGAAACAAAAACGGAATATTGAATGAGAAAAAGATATGATAAAAAGAAATCCGCAATGGGAATAATGAGAATGGTATAGGAGGAATATTAAAATGGAAGGGAATGGGAGTAGATGGAGGGAGATTAGAATAAATTGCATCTCGCATCCATTAGGCTATTAGCTCGCTTTTTAAAAATTTTTTCCCGAGACGAGAATAATTAAAAATGACGTAACCATTGTCAATACAGAGGATCGATTCAATTATATTTTTGAACTTTTGTCAAAACGTGTTTTTTTTTTTTTAGGTTTAAAATTATTCAATTTCTTCGAGTTTAAATTGCGCGAAAAATCCGACGAAAGGATATTTTTTATCATTATTCTTTACATTCTTTTAAACAACAACGAAGGATATGCACACTTTTGAAAAATAAAAAAAGATTCCCCTCCGTTTCCTGTGAAAACAGTTTCCTCGTTTCCCTTAATTAAACAAATGCGCGGCAATGAACGTCGTTGACAGTTGGCTCCTGTGAAAGAATTAAACGTCGTAAAAGTCACGCATACGAATTCAACGAATCCTCCACGCCTCTGGTATCCCTATTTTCCTCCATGAACGAATTACACCAACTATTTTTTGTGTAATAAACGCTTTTCTCCCTCTTGTCCCTCTTTCTCTCTCTGTCTCTCTCTCTGTCTCTAGAAAAGATCTCTTGATCTCTTTGAATCGCAGAGAGAAACATGTCATGGAAATAAAGAGATTCGAGCCTTTTCCTCGAATCTCTTGCAGCTAAATATCAAACAGACAAGATTCGACCCAGTTTTTCATTCGCGCCACGCGAAAATTCCAGGGAAATTCTCTTGGAACGCGGCCACGACACGTGGGGG